GAACTTATCTTTCATAACTGGAACTTTATACCCGTTGAACAATTCCCCATTTCCCTCCCTGTCTCCGTCAGCCCCTGGCAAGCACCGTTCTACTCTATGTATAATATTAGTGTTGTCCTTTTTTTTTCACTTAATATTTCCACTGGCATTTTAGTTTTGCAAGGCATGTTTACTGATTATTTTGGTTGAGTATAGTTCACTTTATCAGGTTTTCCAAGGTGGTTGTCTTAGTAAATTGATTAATGAAGGTTTGCCTCAAATCCAGTAGACTCTCTGTGTTATCATCTATGGCAGGAGTGGTTATAATTACAGAATCAAAACAGAGCCATTGTCTATATGTAAGTTAGTGCTAAGTGCATGAGCTTAAAATAAACCATGAATGTCAATATTATCTCTGCAAGTAGACCTTAAGTCTTGATCTTGAACATCTGGGGTAAGTTACACTATGTGATGTGAACTGGTAAATGTCACCTTCTCAGAACTGTGAGAGAAGTCCTGTACTGATTGTGCTGTTTAAGAATTTAGTGCCTGGGTTACTTGCAGTCTCTCAACTGGCCCGATATTGCCAGGCCTTTAATTGCTCACAATGAATATTATGCAGCCTTAAAGAAAGATGGAGACTTCATCTCCTTCATGTTTATATGGATGGAGCTGGAACATATTCTTCTTAGCAAAGTATCTCAAGAATGGAAGAAAAAGTATCCAATGTACTCAGCCCTACTATGAAACTAGTTTATAGCTTTCATACAAAAGCTATAGCCCAATTATAGCCCAAGAATATGGGGACAGGGGAGAGGGATGGGAGTGGAGAGGGGAGGATGGGTGGTGGGTGGGTGATTGGTGGGACCATACCTATGGTCCATCTTATAAGGGTACATGTGAATCTTTCTAAACGCAGAACATAAATGTCTTAACACAATAAAAAGTATATATATATATTGCTCATGACAGGTCACTTTTACTGTTTCTTTATATGAAATCCAGTCACAACTACTTTCGGTCCAACTTTGTCATTAAGTTAAAATGGGACGGTTGGTGGATGACACAGTTGTGTGTTTACAGCAGATGCCTTGTTGTATTGCCATTGTTTTTACCATTCCTCCGTGGGAGCTCCCTGAGTAAGGGGTGGAACCTGTCTGCCTCCAAGCCCAGTGCTACTTTCTGGAACTACAATGCAGCTTCTATTCTGTGGTAGAGCAGAGGGACATTGGGTTGGTGGTTGGGCATTTGGAGTCTAGGCCTCCCTGTAACTGGTTGGTTATGTGACCCAAGAAAGCCATTTAACTACCTAAATAGTTTTCTCATGTATAAACTGGGATAGTAAAAGGAACAGGAGTATTCTCAGTATCAGAGGAGCTATTCTTTTGGTGGAAGAGCCATTGTTTAGTATACTCAGCACTCGTTAATTAAGATAAATGGTGGAATGGGGATGCCTTGGGTGAGGACAAGTCATCAGGTGGAGAGGGTCGGGCTGGGTGGAGGTGACAGTAAGTGAGACTTGTGAAAATGGGACAGGGCGGGTCAGAGAATGATATTTGGGTTTGGGGGGTAACTTGTTGCTGGTTCAGGCTTTATATTGAAATCAGGACACAGGTCTTCTGGAGTAATCCTTATGCACGTTCAGAAATGTCTGCAAACTGAAGTCGGCTTTCAGAACCAGTGCCAGGCAGCATGCTTTTCTGAAGGATAAGCTAATTTTCGGAACTTGCTGAGCCTTGATGACATTGTGACTGTGGCCCAGTAATTTTGATCTGTTACTTGGCCAACCTTGCTCATGACTTCTGACGCTGATGACTCATTAGAATGTTTCTGAAGGGACAGAAATTTGGTAAATTTATGATCTAAAGATCTGTTATACCTACCCCCAAATCAGATAAAACCGGTGGCTAAATATAAATTAAAAGTTACTGTTACCTAATATTTGCTAATTATTGTAAAGGATATAAAGAAGAAAGTCTAGCTAATAGATGGAAGAGACCGATAAGCTTGTACAGATGGGTTACACGTTTAATGCTTCCATGTACATGATGAGAAGGCATAAAAATTTGTCATTTACTCTTGGCATTAAAAGAAAAATTCATCTAGTAAACATTAAGTCTTACTCCATGCCAGACGCTCAGCCAGGTCCTACAGGACAGAATCATATCAGCTGCTCTTCCTGTTTGCAGGGACCCTGGAGACTAGCACGGGAGACGTACAGAAGCAGATGCTCTGATAGTAACAAGCGTATGGCATGAGCAGAAAGGAGGTGTAGTTCATGGTACACAGGTGACGGTGTCCTGGGAGGAGAGGTGCACAAAAAGGCCGTGACTCTCAGCAGTGCTTCTGAAACTTGATGTGTTTCAATCACATGTGTTTTAGTCAACCAGGGATCATATTAAAATGCAGTTGGTGACTGAGCAGATCCAGGGAGGGGCTGCAAACTTGCAGCGCTAGAGAATCAAGAACTGACTTTGGGCTCGGCTGTAGCTCAGCAGCTTCCGTACCAGCCACATACGCCGGAGCTGGTGGGTTCAAATCCAGCCCAGGCCTGCCAAACAATGACAACTACAACCAAAAAATACCAGGCATTTTGGTGGGCACCTGTAGTCCTAGCTATTGGGGAGGCTGAGGCAAGAGAATCACTTAAGCACAAGAGACTGGAGATTGCTGTGAGCTGTAATGCCTCGGCACTCTACCAGGGGCAGCAAAGTGAGACTGTGTCCCCAAAAAAAGAGCTGACTTCGTATTCACTGGACAGAGATAGGGGACAGATGACAGGAGGCCTTCTCGGTCACAGGATGGGCATAAGCCAAAGAGTAGAGTAAAACAGCCCAGAGAGAAGCAACCAAGGGCATGTGTGGGTGCGTAGAGTGGTGGGGACAGGGAATAAGGCAGGAATCAGCCCTAGCACTGCCTTTTATGCCTTTAAAATTAAATATTAATTAAGAAGCTTAAATATAAGATTGCCATCATCTAGATAATGGGTTATCTCACATTTTAAATGGGGCCATGACTTTAAATTTCATGTGCAGGAGGTTACTGTGATAGAGTTGGAAGGGATAGGAGGACAGGACTTTAGGAGGCTAATACATTATTTAGGCAAGATGCAAGAGGGAAAATGAGGATTCATAGGATGGATTGAAAGGAAGAACTCTTTGGAAAGAAATGGCCTGTCTTGTAAATTGAATAGCACAGAGTATGTGCTGGAGTCAGAAAGAAAGCTAAGATAATTGGAAGCAAAATGTATACTGATGTAAATGGGCTGTGCAGGGGGAAGTCTGGAGCTAGGGGAGAGCCTCAGCCTGGTGGCTTCAAATGCCAGACCTGAGGAGCTTAAGCTTTGTTAGGGGGGAGAGACTGGGTCTTGCCCTGTTGCCCAGGCTGGAGTGGCTTGATCATAGTTCACTGTAACCTCAAACTCCTGGGCCCAAGCAATCCTCCCACCTCAGCCTTCTAAAGAACTGGGACGACAGCTGTATGCCACCATGTCTGGCTAATTTTTGAAAATTATTTATAGAGACAGGGCCTTGATATAGTCTCGAACCCCTGGCCTCAAGCAATCGTCCCGCCTTTGGCCTCCCAAAGTGCTGGGATTGTAGGGGTGAGCTACTGCACACCGCCCCTTTTTATCTATTAAGATGAGATTTGTGTAAGTGAAATCACTAGGACAAAGCAATGGGCATAACTTTCCAGTAAGATCACTTGACTATTTTCATCAAAAGTCTTATTTTCAACTCTTGATATTCTTCACTTACGTGGTACTAGTAGCATTGAGAGAGCTGGTACTAGATTAAGTCAGGACATGGGAGAAAGAGATGATTCCAATGTTCTGCAGCTGGATGGAAGAAAATAAATCCAGGGCTATACTTAGCATAAATAGGAGAGCGTCAGCCCGAGCTGAAATGCGGAACAAGGAATTTAAAACTCGAGTGACACTGGAATTCAGAAGGAGGATGGGGCTGCGAGTAAGAATGTGAGATTCTTCTGTATGGTTAAAACGAGTAAACTAGGCTTACCAAGAGAATGCATGTGAAGAGTCGTGAGCAAAGGATTGAACTTGGCTAATAACCCCTATTTACCAAGGTGGCAGGTGTGACCATCAGACTAGTGTGGGTTCAAAGGTGTCAGAGGGTAGGAAGGAAGCGTATATATTTCACTGATAAGGGGAAACACTTTTGCTGTGCGGAAAAAATAGTTTGGCAGAATAAACTGTGGGAAGTAAAGATGCAAGGGAGGGGGGTAGGTCGATAGAGGAGGGTTAGCAGGGGGACCACACCTATGGAGCATATTGCAAGTATAAGTTGGATCTATCAGGTATAGAACACAAATGTCTTAACACTGTAATTGGGTAAACTGAGGTGAAGGTTATGTTGATTAGTAGGATGTAAGCACTCCTATTTGTACAAATAACCAACACATTGAATCCGATAATGGCATAAATGTATTCATGATCTATGTACAAATGACTTAATTAAAAAAAAATAAAGATGCAAAGATGAGATGAAAAAAGATATTAATAGAGCGCCCCCTGGTGTTAGGTATTAGGCATTTTTCAAATGAAATTTTTCTCATGGAATTGAATTTCTTCCTGATTTGGTTATTTTTAAATTTTCACTTGTTAATTTTTTATGGTGTAGCCTAGTCATATACCTGGACTATTTTTTTTCTTTTTAAAATCAGCTTTTCCACAAGCTGTTTCTCACATAACTTTTCTGCTCTGTCTTCTGACTGCAGAGACGGGTGAGTTAATTACTGTGGGTTTCAGGGTTACAGCTACACTGCTCGTGTATATACTCATGGCCTTATCCTCTCTTCCCTTTTGCCTCTAAATTATCAAAAATAAGTAGGACTGTGGGAAGCTTTCCTCTTTCATCTGTAGCTACATGATTCTGAAAATATTGATGCTGAGTTTTGATTCCTTTGTTAGAGCAAAGGTTTGGGTTGACAGGCTTAAAGCACCAGCTTTTGAGAGGAATAACAATTGGAAACTTTATTATTGTTATTTTTTTAAACCCAAGGAAAACCTGCATCCTTGAAAACCGCACAGCCGTCTTGGGTGAATTTGCCTAGACCACTTCCTAAAGCCAAAGCATCTTTGAAAAGTCCTGCGCTGCGGAGGACAGGAAGCTCCCCCTCTGTCGCCAGCACCCACAGCGATCTGAGCACTTACAGCAATAACTGTAAGTCAGCCTTAGGCCGAACTCGGGGCGGGGGTGGGTGGGGGGCTGTTCAAACAGGACTTACCAGGAAAACTAATGCTGTACAAGTAATTTGTGGGATTTTTCTTCCCTGTAATTTTGGGAAAATATGCACTGCTGCCTTGGAATTGCTCTGAAAGTTGGACAGGAAAAACAAATTGTTTGAAAAACATCCTCTTTTGATGAAGATGCTATGAAACCCTGAAATAATTATAGTATGCATCAAAGGTATATTTTTCATGGATGATTCCAAAGTGCATTGTTGGAGGTGATGGTGTTTGGGGTTTAAGGAAAATAGAGAAACCTAGGGGGTCAGATACCCAACTAGAATCAGAAAAAAGATAACTTTTAGTTTCATTTACTTTATTTTTATTTTTATTTATTTTTTTGAGACAGAGTTTCACTTTGTTGCCCTTGGTAGGGTAGAGCACTGTGGCGTCATAGCTCACAGCAACCTCAAACTCTTGGGCTTAAGCGATTCTCCTGCCTCAGCTTCCCCGGTAGCTGGGACTACAGGTGCCTGCCACAATGCCCAGCTATTTTTAGAGACGAGGTCGTGCTCTGGCTCAGGCTGGTCTTAAACCTGTGAGCTTGGGCAATCCACCCTCCTCGGCCTCCCAGAGTGCCTGGCCTAGTTTCATTTACTGTATAAAAGACTTTCTTTTATGGCTGGATGTTTATGATCTTTTACTTTGGATTCAGTGTAATGTGACTAAATATTATAACTTGAAGCCTAATTATAAAACATTGAAACTCAGGAGAGTATTTTTTAAACTGTTCCATTAATGTGAATTCTGTTTTCTGGGTATCAAAATTAATTGAGCCGTCCCTTTCATTCAAAAGATGTATCTGGGCATAGTGCTTAGTCTCTAATTTCCTTTTTCTGTTGAGCCACAAAATGATTCTCAAGTTCATGACTTCACGTAATTTTGGAGCACCTGCTTTGCACAGATGATAGAGGCACAGAGGGACAAGGATACAAAAGAAATTGTCCTGACTCCAAAAGGAGGCGAGGAGATAGGAGATACTTACATGGGTGACTAGGATACCGGATAAAACAAGATTGCAAAGGGTGTGGAGAGACGCAGAGCACTGACCTCTCCGCTTGATGGAGAGATCAATTTCTTCTTTTTGGTGCGGGGATGGAGGCCAAGTAGAATAACAGTCACTGAACTTTTCTGCCTAGAGAGCAGTATTATAGAGTTGCCAACCATTTCTTTTTCCTCTCAAATAATTTTTACTGTTTCCCTGATTTTCTATGTGACGTGATTTAAGCTCAGAGATGTCGTCACTGGTTCAAAGTCACACAGCAGATATGTGACAGGATGGAGAAGGTGTTGGTGGAGGATAAGGCATCCAATTAACGACTGAATGAATGAACTCATATCTAGTGGGTCACCTAGCAGTGGGATAGCAAGCAGCTGCACGCTGGCGCTTCTGACCCCCCGGGATACAAAACAGGATTATTATCTGCTGATTGCTTGAATTTTGAACTTGTGCCACAAAATCAGAAGGGTTTGCATGTGACAGATTGCTCTCTGAATTCGAAGAATTCATTCACACGCATGTTATTTTAAGATCATTTCACTCCCGCGCTCTCTCCAACTTGCAATGCAATTTAAAAAACAAACTGCCAAAACAGAATCACCAGCGTGCTCTGGAAGGACTGTGGTGGCGGTGGCATTTCTGGCCCCTGAAGCAGACGCGTTCTGTAGTGCCACAGACGCTCCTTTCCCCTCGACAGCCATGTTGAGTTGGCCACTGCTTCAGTCCTGTGTCTGAGACGTCCAAAGAGGTTGTAAAATGCTTTTGTCCGTTGCCTTTTGTCTTTTAACAAAAGGGCTTGCCATCCACCCACAGTGCCTGTCTCCTAGCGAAGTGTCCCTGGTGCAGACTAAGCATTCAAACCAGTGAGTCTCTTTCTTAGTTTGATTTGCTAGCTGGTTTAATCTGTTTTGTGTAGTGCCTTGGAGCTTACAGATTTTTTTTTCCCCCTCCATTCTAATTCACTAAGCGAGCCTGAGGGATATGAGTGTGAACATGGCTGCGGTGTTTCCTGCCTAAGCGTGCTTTGATCCTTTTAAATGACTATACCAGGAGGATTCCGCAGTTGTACAGAAACTGATATTGCTTCAAAAATCTTTATCAATTCTACCCTCACCCCACCGGCTGGCTCAGAGAGGCAGTATGATGCTACCTTATTGACACTGCTGGTCGTGGGATCCTACAGCCTTTGTATAATTCCTTTGTTAGCCACGTTTACGGGGAAAAAAAGTAGGTCGACGATTTCTGGTTTGATTCTTTCCTTTGTAAGCATGCTGAAATTTTTATTCAATAAATTGATTTAAGATCTGTCAATTGCTATTTTTTGGTAACTTGTAATTTACGTTCGTTGTGATGTTTCTTGGGCATATTTGTGTGTAGTTAAGATGTGAATGCTTCTCTGTAGGACCAATTTTGTTGTACCTTTTATGTTTTGATACGCCTCCTAAATATAATTCAGCAGCACTGTCCGTGTTCTTAGCACAGAAAATTAATCCTTTTATCAAAGACTGTTTGATGATTTGGTTTCTGGTTGAATAACTAGGAGTTTTTGTGTGTGAGCTTATAGTTGTGTGAGTCTAGAGATATGCTTTCTAAGAATTAAGATGGAAAGTCACATCTTTGTTATTTTCCTCACTTTTAAACAAAGGCATTAAACACGGACTTTTTGAAAAAGACTACCTCAAAACGTGACCAAAGGCATTTTGAGCTGATTTTTTTTTCTGCTTCTGATAATGAAGGACCACGTTAGGAAATAAACTTGATCTTCTGACTGTATCTGGATTCATAATGGCTTAAGCCTTTGAACCTTTTTAAAGAAATTTTTTTTGCTTGCTTTGTGCGTTTCTTTGTGAGATTGTTGGTGGCATCATTTAAGAACTTCTGATACAGCATAGTACGGTTGTAAAATTAGCCATCTGTTTCTCGGTACTTTGGAATCCTATAGAAATAACGTTGCTAAGTCTTAAAGTGACAGAATCAAGACATGTAAGGTGATACATTTTTCTTATTTAGGAGTTCAAGCAGGTTTTGTGTGTGTGTGTGTGTGTGTGTGCGCGCGCCTTTAAGCATAGAAAATTTTAAAGCAACAATATTGATTTCCTTTGGGGCATTAGTATAAAACATTGCACAGTAGTTGCTTTACCGAAAGTGCTCGTGTATAGAGGTTAAACATTCTGCATTATACATTATGTGCTCCTTTAGACTCAGATACCTCCAATTTTAAAATCATTGAAGTGATTGGATGAAAATAAATGACATATTGTAGGTCTTGAATAGAATTGAAGCTTTGAGGATCATCAGGCAGTTGAGAAGGTGGTCTGGGAAGAGCTAGAATTTGGCCTCGTTAGCAGAAATAGGAAGTCCAAAGACTTCTGTCACCTTCCACTTTGGCCACAAAAACGTGTTTATTTTTGAGAGACAGATGGCAGGCGAGGGCAAATGTCAGAGATGCAAACCAAAGCTATTGGCACTCCCTTCGAAATAGGAGAACAGAGAGAGACTAAAGAAAGAAACAGCTTTTTTTTTTTTTTCCCCCCTGCACCTTTGTGGCTAACCCTGGCTGAGGTGGGGTGATGTCCAGAAAAGGTCACTCCACATGGAGTCATCCTCGTTTTCCTGCTAACTGTGTGAACTTGGGCGATCTTTCTCTTCTCTTCATCTCAGTATCCTCAGGGAGGGAAGGACTAGGTCATCTTCAGAATCCTTGCAACAGCAACAACTGTCTTTTTTTTCCTTTCATGTAATAGGATGGTCCATGATCATTTGGAAAGAGGGTGTTTTGAGTTGTTCAAATGATTAAGCTGATTGAAGGATGACTCTTATTTACTTACCCTCTGTTTTGTTTTCTCATGGTAGAAATGGCAAGTGAGGATTGTCTCACCTGCCAACACTGGTTAGTAGATAAGAATCATGTACAGTTCAGTGTTAACTGTTTCCCAGGCTGCTGCTAGGTTCAGAGGGAAAGATCTTTGTTTGACTAGTGATGTCTGCCTTGGTGGAGGTGGAGGTGAAGGTGAGGGGCAGACAGCAGACACTGCTGGCTTTGCATCACAGAACACGTTAGTATCACATACCCCTGACAATGACTCCTTAATAAGGAAGTATCATTATCCAGACCACTCTTGATTTTGTTGTTCTTCTTCTTTTAATGTTTTCCAAAGGTATATAAGAGACGTTCTTATTAATACAAAGCTGAGTGATTTTGCTTTTGAAATTTGAAAGCTTAGGCGTCAGCACTTACTTGATTTGAAGCCAGGTGGGCAGATGATCTGGCGTAGTGAGGAGGAGTGTTAAACTGATTCACAAAAAAACTCAAGCGATGAACAGAATGTTTTCTCTGTGTGTATACACATGATTTAATAAACAAAAACTAATTTTAACTAGATGCTGGAGTGCCGTATGAAATGTGAGCTGGCGAGTGAATGTCTGGAACAATAAGAAGCCTTTTTCTAGTAGGAAAATCATTTCTGCTGCTGCTTGAACTTTGTGGAGTATCTCTCTTCTTTTTAGATTCAATTATCTCTCTCTTTTATTCCACTTGAACCACATTTTGGCCATGGCGAAATGAAAATTAAGGATTCCAGAGAATCTGTTGTTCTGCATAATTGAGACAGCGAGGACCAGAGATGACAACATAATGGGATATTTTAACTCCATCATAGAGCTGGCTGAGGCCAAGCTGACCACATGGGGAATTGAATATCTTGACTGTACAGATCAATTGTCACTGACTGGTGGTGGCCCCCCGGAGCACAGTGTTTAGGACCATTCAGTTGATGGATCTGGCCTCAGTGGGACTGGGTACCACAGGCAGTGAACAGGGACCCTGTGACACGCATAGTGTCCATTCCCACAGCTGACTTTCAGACCCATCAACTGTATGCAGAGAGCTGAGGTGACCCAGGACAAGCTCAGCAGGGCCCAAGTTAGGACTAGAAGTTGGATATTGTAGCTAGCATTCGTCCATGGTGGAAATGATTATTCGTCTAATTACGTCGGGACTGTTGCCGCTGAAGTATTTACCATTTGGCTGTAACAACCTCGGATAAGGGAAAATTTAGTTGTCAGGGATGCCCAACCAGTTGCCACGTTAGGAGCTAAAATAGAGGGCGGGAGAAATGTCTTAAAGGGATTACGGCGCATAATGATCTACTTCTTCAAGTCAGAGTTTAGCAGAAAGCATCGGGCCGGGCCAGAGCAGAGTGTTTCAGGAATTGATGGATGTTTAAGTGTTGGTCATAATAGTATGTTCAGCGCAGGACAGTTTGTGCCTACTGTTCATAAGACGGGAAGTGTGTAGCAGATGATGACAGGGTGCAGGGATACATATTATCTGTGTATATGTCTCATGTAAACATGTACACAAATACAAATGATTTTTATATTTAAAAATTGCATTTGTACCTGAGTCGAACATAGACCTTTTGGCCAGGCACAGTTCCTTATACCTGTAATCCTAGCACTCCGGGAGGCCGAGTCAGATGGATTGCCTGAGCTCACAAGTTCAAGACCGGCATGAGCCAGAGCCAGACCTTGTCTCTAAAAATAGCCAGTGTTGTGGCGGGCACCTATAGTCCCAGCTACTTGGGAGGTTGAGGCAAGAGAATCGCTTAAACACAAGAGCTGGAGGTTGCTGTGAGCTGTGATGTCATGGCACTCTACTAAGGGTGACAAAGTGAGACTTTGTCTCCAAAAAAAAAAAAGCCCGCAGACATTTTGTCTTTGTAATGGGGGTCACTGGCTTCATTTTGCATGCTAGGAAGTTGACATTGGGGCTGGTGCCAGATCTAGTGTTGTGTTAAGCGTGAGAGTGGCAGAGAGACAGTTGGTTTCCACCCTGACACCTCCTGTTCTTTTTACTGAATTCTTTGTAAACTTGGAGGTCTTTGTTTCTAAAGCTTAGAAAAGCACAAATTTAGAATCATAAGACTGTATATCAGGCTTGAAAGTTGAACTCCACTCCATTTTTCAAAATGTGAATAAGTGATTTGCCATTGAACGTAACAAATTGCTTCAAGAAAAGTAAGATTGTTACGGTACATGGCTAAGACTTTATAATAATATTGGCGTCGATTCAGCAAAAGCCGAAATGCTCGTTGAAATTCCACTGTTCATTTTACACGAAAATGTAAAAGATAGGAGTGGGAAATTTTGGTTCTGTTATTTTTAAAACTGTAAAAAGTTATGTTGAATTTTACGGTAGTATCTTTGGTATTGTCATTCCCATTAGCTTCCTGTCAACTTTGGAAACACCAAGTCCCTAGGTTCCAGGAAAGGCCAGAATTAGAAAGAAGCTTAGGAAGTTGACAGAAGCTTGACAGCAGGAGAGCAGGCTCTGCGTTGATTTGACCTGATATTACTAATGTTATCTGGGCACAGGAAGAATCAGCAGATGGCTCATTGTACGGGACCGGATCTGGAATGTGCCTTTACAAGGTTTTTTTTTTTTTTTTTTTTTTTTGAGACAGAGCCTCAAGCTATCCCCCTGGATAGGGTGCTGTGGCATCACAGCTCACAGCAACCTCCAACTCCTGGGCTCAAGCGAGTCTCCTGCCTCAGCCTCCCAATAGCTTGGACCACAGGCACCTGCCACAATGCCTGGCTGGTTGCAGCCGTCATTGTTGTTTGGTGGGCCCAGGCTGGATTTGAACCCGCCACCTTAGGTGTATGTGGCTGGCGCCTTAACCACTTGAGCCACAGGTGCTGAGCCTTGAATGTGACTTTTATCAGCTCTGTGGTAGGACTTGCAATAGTTTAGCCTAGTGAAAAATTTCTAGCTGTCCTCACAGTTACAATGGGTCTGTTGTAAACAAGGTAGGCATCTTACCCTTGGCTAGAGCAAGATGAGAAAAGAATCAAAGTTGGTAGTAAATAAATTCCTGATTGTTAAATATTCAATAATAGAATAGAATAGGATGCTTAGAATTGGGCATTGACAATAATATAGAAAGAATTCAGATATCCAGCCTAGGGTGGTGGAGGGGAAGTTTTTACACGCAATATGAGAGATGATTATTATTACTTAGGTGAGATTCCCCTTTATGCTTTTGCTTTGGGGCGAGGCATTTTTATTCCAGGGCGGATGTTGGTGTTTCAGCTCCTCCCTGCAGCAGCCTGGGATTCCAATCGGACCTGATCCTTATAGCTCCCAGGGAGTCTGTGCACTGCTGTTCTTGAGTCCCTCACCAGCTCTGCCTGTGCGATGCCATGTCCTCATGAAGAGGGAGGCTCTTCTTAGCTGCACCCTGGGCATATTTATTGCATAGCATGAATGGCCATCTAACCTATTTCCCAACTTTTATCTGGGATTAAAGCTGATCTGGACAAGATAATGTAAACTTGGATGGAACCAGGCACCTGAGGATGCCTCGTCCCTCCGTGGCCTGTGCTTACACCTGTAGGGATGCAAACTATCTGTCAGGACCTTCGTATTCCCAGTACTCAGTAATGCCTGGCACATTACACGCGCTCACTGAGCATTTGTTGATTCAAGGAGGAAGAAATAAGTGGGGGAGAGTGGCACCTGCAGCTCAAAGGAGTAGGGTGCCGGCCCATATGCCAGAGGTGGTGGGTTCAAACCTAGCCCTGGCCAGAAACTACAAAAAATAAATAAGTGGGGGAAAATTGATACTGTACGTATCTATAAAAAAATACTCTTCTGTTTTGTTACAGCTGGTAATGCTGCCATCATCAAGTATGAGGAGAAACCTCCCAAACCAGCATTCCAAAACGGTTCCTCAGGATCCTTTTATTTGAAGCCTTTGGTATCCAGAGCTCATGTTCACTTGCTAAAAACTCCTCCAAAAGGTATGGACTTCACTGTGGATGGAAGAAGGGGGGAAAGGCTTTTTCAAGTCCTTGGCTCAAAGGAAGTTACGTTTTGCCAGACTTATGGTGGGTTTAACAATTGTTTATAAAAAGTGTTATTGAGTAGGGAGATCGATACATTTTTACAGCAAGGTAATTGTTCTGAAAAGGTGGGTAGGTTCTATAGTTAAAATTTGTCAATGTGTGGGGCGGCACCTGTGGCTCAGAGGAGTAGGGCACCGGCTCCATATGCCAGAGGTGGCGGGTTCAAATCCAGCCCTGGCCCAAAACTGCCTATATGTATGTGTGTATGTGTGTGTGCGCGCGCTTGTGTGTCAATGTGTAAGTCAGCAGGTAGGACAAAGGCACAGGCAAAATCAAGAGAACTTCTAGGGTTAAATTGCTCTGAGGTGGAGCCTTAGGGCAGTGAGAGAGAAAGGAATAGAACTGTATGGATCACTTCCCACAGTAGATTCTACTGGCTTAAAGAGAAAACAGGCATAAATATGGGGGTATGGTGGAATTCTCCAGTCATAGGCAGGCTCTCAAATAAACAAACTTGAGGCCATCAGTTGGGGTTGACACCGGCTGCGAAAGTGGTTTCACCGAGAACCGTAAAGCCCCACGGTTCATACCACAGTAACTGAAAGTGCCCATCGTTGGAGTTTGATGCTTTGGCGACTTTCGGAGAATGAGAACTTAAGAGATTCCACCGATTACTTTGGAGAAGAAGGAACTCCAGTGTTCCCAAATGCCTCACCACTGAATTTGCGAATTTTGGGGTCAAGAAAGGTTTTACGTGAGTGGTAATCAGTGATTTCCATTTATAGTGGCCACGTAGTGTCAAGATGATCATCTCTGTAAAGTCTCCCAGATCTAACGGGGAAACTGCAGATGGCTGTGTGCTAGCGAGGACTGTTTCTCCTCAAGTGGAGGCACCTGCTGTTTTCTTTTTAGCGCTTGTCCTGTACCTGTGATCCCTCCTGGCTGTGTGTTACATTGTGTCGGTTTGGAGAAAGAGCTTGTGCTTTTCTTTATAGCTGAACATGAATTGTCAATTGCAGAAGGTGCAGGGGAGTGGCTGTCACAGTCTGGCACCTGGCTTTGTCAGCAGCGGAATAGCATTTTGCCCTCAGTAAATATGTGAATTAAGTACGTTTAAAATTTGAACTTGAGCTATTCTTGACCCCTCCCCCAAAGAGTTCTGTGGCTTATCCTGTTAAAACTCATCACCATATTTATGATGAAGAATTCACGTCACTCTTAAGCTATCGTTTTGATGGCTACTTGGAATATCATCTTATATTTAAAATATAACGTGATAAAATTTATTGCATTTCAGTGGTATTTCCCACCTGGAACCTAAAATTTAGAGAGTATTTATTTTTGAAAATAAAACAGCTGTTACTTAAAAAATGATATGTTTTTGTGTGATAGTTCAGATATGTGCATTTTTACATACTTTCTATTTTTTAATATCTTAGGTCCTTCAAGAAAGAGTCTACTTACAGCTTTTAATGTGGGTAAGTGACCACTTTCAATATGGATGGGAAAAAATAATCATTAATAAAAGGGCATTTTATTAATGAGAGACAATTTTGGGTTTTTTTAAATGATTTTGTTAATATTTTCCATTTTCTAAATGAAATGGATGATTGGTCTTCCCAAGATGAATGGTCTTTTACATTGGACACTCTTTGATTGCTAAGTAGTCTCAAGACAGGGCACTCGTGCCTTCTAACACTTCAGTAGCCTCTGCTTGGGGGGGACGTACTCCCAATCTCTCTCTAGGACAGCCTGTAGCCTCAAACATCTGAACCACAACGGAGAGTCAAAAACTTTTGTGTCTCAAGAAGCAATAAAAGATTTCACAAGGTATATTCACTGCGCATTTCAGGCATAGCCGACCAGGCGCCCCAGACACCACCTGCGTTCTCTTCTACACAGTGATGAGACGGTTATGTGGCTTCCAAATCAGAAGATAGGAAGGTGCAGGCACAACCCGCTGTGTTTTGCAGACATCGTGTTTTTTACAAATTGAAGGTTGTGGTCACCCTGCACCAAGCAGGTCTGTTGGTGCTGGTCTCCAGCAGCGTGTACTCGCTCTCCGTTTCTGTGGCACATTTGGTACTTCTCGGAGTATTTCATACTTTTTCATTATCATCATATCTGTTAGTGATCTCTTATCAATGATCTTTTTTGTTTTGACTGGGGCTGGGTTTGAACCTGCTACCTCCGGTATATGGGGCCCTCGCCCTATTCCTTTGAGCTGCAGGTGCCACCCAATTATCAATGATCTTTGTTACTATTGTGTTTTGGAGTGCCACAGCTGTGCCCATATACAGTGAGCCTGACTGGTAAGCGTTGTGTGTGTTCCGACCTGTGAAGCACCTGTCCCCCCCATCTCCCAAGTCTCCCTATTCCCTGAGACCCCGTGATGTTGACAGTAAGCTAGTTACTAACCCTACCACGGCCTCTGCGTATTCAAGTGAAACCAAGAATTGCACATTTCTCACTTTAAACCAAGAGCTAGAAATGATTAAGCTTGGGAGGAAGGCGTGTTGAGAGCCAAGATAGGCCGAGAGCCAGGCCGCTTGTACCAGTTAGCCAAGTTATGAATGCACAGTTCTTGGAGGAAATTAAAAGTGCTACTCTAGTGAATGAGGAGAAAGCAAAACACCCTTATAGCTGGTGCGGAAGGAAGTTTGAGATGTCTGGATAGAAGCAAACCAGCCCCAGCATTCCCTGAAGCCATAGTCATTTGCTCAAGGCCTTGAGTCTCTTTAATTCTATGAAGACTGAGAGAGTGGAGGAAGCTGCAGAAGATCGAAGCTGGCAAAAGCTGGTCCATAGGGTTAAGTATAGAAGCTGGCGTCATACATAACATAAAAAATACAAGGTGGAGCAGCCAGAGCTGATGCAGAAGCTGCAGCAAGTTATCCAGAAACTCTAAGGCAGCCGAGGAAGGTGGCTGCACCGAATAGATTTTCAGTGTTGGAAGAAACAGCTTTCTATTGGAGGAGATGTCATCTTGGACTTCCATAGCCAGAGGAGAAAAGTCAGTGCCTGTCTGCAAAACTTGAAAGGACGTGGGCTAATGTTGTTAGGGGCCAATGCTACTGCTGACCTTAAATTGAACCTGAACTTACCTACCATTTTGAAGGTCCTTGGGCCCTTAGGAATTACGCTAACTTCACTCTGCCTGTGCTCTAGACATGGAAAAACAAAGCCTAGACAGTCTACTGAATATTTTAAGCCCATTGTTGTAATTTTTTTTTTTTTTTTAGACAGCCTCAAGCTGTCCCCCTGGGTAGAGTGCTGCAGCATCACAGCTCACGGCAACCTCCAACCCCTGCCTCTGCCTCCCAAGTAGCTGGGACCACAGGTGCCCGCCACGATGCCTGGCTATTTTTTGGTTGCAGCTGTCATTGTTGTTTGGCGGGCCTGGGCTGGATTCGAACCTGCTACCTTAGGTGTATGTGGCTGGCGCCTTAACCACTTGAGCCACAGGTGCTGAGCCTTAAGCCCATTGTTGAGATGTACTGTTTTGGAAAATAAGATTCCTTTCAAAATCTTTTCTTTTGGCTGGGGCCAGGTTTGAACCCACCACGTCCCGTATATGGGGCCAGCACCCTACTCCTTGAACCACAGGCACCGCCCTCCTTTCAGAATCTTACTACTCATTGACAGTGCTGCTGGTCGCCTCAGAGCTCCAGTAGAGAAGTACAAGGATTGAAGGGTGTGATGTGAGAGAAACCGGGCAGGAGATACAAATTTGTGAGGCTCTTTTGTAAAGAAAATAGGATGAATAACATTATGTAGCAAATAACTAATACCCTATATCCTTGATAGCCCACCAGATGTGGTGTTGTGCTCGATAAGAAAGGAAGTGTGAGGGAATTGGGTCAAAATTATTAACATTTTATAGATTCTAAAAGCTGGAGACGTCAGTCAGGCAGGATGATTTAAATTCCGACGATCCCCAGTCAGCTGAACTTGAATATATGGTTAGTAAAGCTTTTAAAATTTAAAAAGGCAAAAGGAACTTTACTGTGGACATTTGTGTTTTTATTTTCTTTTGTTTTAAATTTCTAGTATGTCCTAATAATTTGGAGAAAAAAGAAAACTGATGTTTTAGAGAGTGACTTTGTTTGTTAAAAAATAACCATTATCAGAAAGCTGGATCCTACGGTGAATCTATGTTTAATTGTTTGAGAACGCTCTGGGCTGTTTTCCAAAATGACTGTACCATTTTGCGTGCTCACCAGCAGTGTGTAAGGGATTCAGTTTCGCCACATCCTTGCCAGCTCTCGCTTTTGTCTGTCTTTTTGATTGTAGCCATCCTACTGGCCGTGAAGTGGTATCTCATTGTTTCGTTGTTTTTTTTTTTTTTTTTGAGACATAGTCTCACTATGTCGGCCTGGGTGGAGTGCCATGGTGTCACAGCTCACAGCAACCTCAAGCTCTTGGGCTTAAGCAATTCTCTTGCCTCAGCCTCCCAAGTAGCTGGGACTACAGGCACCTGCCATGATGCCCAGCTGTTTTTTGTTGCAGTTGTCATTGTTGTTTAGCTGGTCCAGGTCAGGTTCGAACCTGCCACCCTTGGTGTATGTGGCTGGTGCTGTAACCACTGTGCTATGGGCACTGAGCCAGGTATCTCATTGTTCCAATCTGCATTTCCGTAATGATTGATGATGTTGCACATCTTTTCCTGAGTTGATTGGCCATTTGTATATCTTCTGTAGAGAAGTGTTCATTCAGATCCATTGCCCATTCTTTAAACTGGGTTATTGGTTTTAGTGAATTGTAGGACTTCTTTATGAGTTCTGGATGTGTTCTGATTCTTATCAGAGATATAACAAATATTGCAAATATTTTCTCCCATTTTTGAAGGCTTTTTATTTTTACTTTCCTGATAGCATCCTTTGAAACACAATTTTTTTTTTATTTTAACAAGATCTCGTTGATCTCTCTGTTGTTTGCGTTTGTGGTGTTATATCTTAGAAATGATTGCCTAATTCAAGGTTGTGAAAATTTATGTCTATATTTTCTCTTAAGATATTTTTGTCAATAGCCCTTACACTTAGTTCTTTGATCCATTTTGAGTTAATTTTTTTTTTTTTTGAGGCAGTCTCACCGTCACCCTGGATACAGTGCCATGACATTATAGTACACAGCAATCTTAAACTCTTGGGCTCAAGTGATCCTCTTGCCTCAGCCTCCCATGTGCCTGGGACTATAGGTGTGCACCATTAGGCTTGGCTAGTTTCTCTATTTTTAGTAGAGATGGGGTCTTTCTTTTGCTGGGGCCTATCTGAAACCCCTGAGCTCAGGTGATCCACCCACCTTGGTCTCCCAGAGTATTAGTATTACAGATCCGAGTCACCACCATGCCCAACCTGAGTTAATTTTTTATATGGTATGAGGTAGAGGTCTAATGACATTTTGCATGTAGACACCCAGATGTTGAAAACACTTTTCTTTCCCCATTGAAATATCTTGCCACTTTTGTCAGAAATAATTGGTTATGAATGTTGGAATTTATTTCCAGACTCTATATCACATGGATATGTGCATATCTTTGCATATACCACACTGTCTAGATTGCTGTGGGATAGTTGAAGTTTTGAAATCAGGAAGTTTGAATTATTCGGCTTTGTTCTTTTTTAAGATTATGGCTGTTCTGAATTTCTGTATGAATTTTAGGATTACCTTGTTACTGTAAAGAAGTCAGTTGAGATTTAGGGAGGCATGGCCCTGAATCTGTAGATGAATTTGTGGAGCATTGCTGTCTTAACAATGTCAAGTGTTCCAATTTGTGAATATGGGACACCTTCCCATTTCCATAGGTCTTCCTTGAATTATTTCATCAATGTTTTGCAGTTTTGAAGATTTCTTTTGTTAAGTCCTGTTTCTAGTTTTTTCTGTGGCTTAGAAGCTGCCACATTGATGTAAAGTGGTTGGTTAAATAATTCTAATACGTGTATTTTATTTTTTTATTGAATATTAATTTCATTACACTAAAAGGCAAAGATTATCACAGAGGACCAAAAAAGCAAGACTCAATTATATGTTATCTATAAAAAATCCACTTCACTAGCCTCGTGTGCCAGAGGTAGTGGGTTCAAACCCAGCCCTGGCCAAAAACTTTAAAAAAAAAAAAAAACCCACTTTAAATACTGTATAAAATTAAAAATATGTTAAAGGGAAAGGAAAGGAAAACATATATAGCATGCAAATACTAATCAAAAGAAACTAGAGTAGTTATATTAATAGCAGATTGAGTAGACTGTTTATTAAAATAGGCCTATTTAGCTGGGCATTGTGGTTGGCACCTGTGGTCCCAGCTACTCAGGAGGCTGAGGCAAGAGAATCGCCTAAGCCCAAGAACTGGAGGTTGCTGTGAGCTGTGACATCACAGCACTCTACCAAAGGTGACAGAGTGAGACTCTGTCTCTAAAAAATATAATAATAATAATAGTGGCTGGTGCCTGAAGCTCAAAGGAGTAGGACACTGGCCCCA